TGGCGCGATCTCAGCTCACTGCAACCTCTTCCTTTAGGGTTCAAGTGATTCTCCTGCCTCAGCCTCCTGAGTAGCTGGGACTACAGGCATGCACCACCACACCTGGCTAATTTTGTATTTTTAGTATAGATGGGATTTCTTCTTGTTGGTCAGGCTGGTCTCAACCTCCTGACCTCAGGTGATCCGCCCACTTCAGCTTCCCAAAGTGCTGGGATTACAGGGGTGAGCCACTGTGCTTGTCCCTAGCTAAATTTTGTATTTTTAGTAGAGACAGGGTTTCACCACGTTGGCCAGGATAATCTTGATCTCCTTACCTCGTGATCTGTCTGCCTCAACCTCCCAAAGTTCTGGGATTACAGGCTTCCTTACTGTTAATATATTGATTAGACAAATATTAAAGTGTAACATTTACTGTTCTGTTTTGTTTTGTTTTTACTAATTCTAGCAACAGCCCTTTAATATAAGCACAACTGTCCCCATTATTTTACTTGGCAGGGTGATGGGAGTTGAAGTAGAAACATGGTGGCGATAATTTTACTGGGATTTAAAATTTACAGAAGGTAACCATCCCACAATTAACTCTATGTAGACTCTAGTTTTGAAATTCAGGATCTGCTTTATTTAATTCGAAGTGTTTTGTAGGTAATAAAATTTTTTCCAATTTTCATTTGGAGGGCAGGAGATCACTTTCAGTTTTGAGATTTTGCATTGGTACATTTTACAGTGGGTTAAGCAGTGATCACAAATTTACTAAACATCAATTTCAATTTGACCCTTATCATTGAGCATTAGAATAAATCTGGGAATGATAATCTAGGTGTGACCTAAAAGTTTAATTTATTCTAGGTCGATGTCTGAGAAGAGAGGAAGGAGTGGCAATACCAAATAAAAACTTTGTCTAGGGTTCAATGGCAAAGTTCAACCTGAGTTGCCAGGATGTTTGTTGTTTGTCTTCCAGTATGGCCAAAAAGCATGTATGAAGCTGGTGAATAATTTTTATATGTACAGTTTTTTTTTCCACAAATAATAAAACCTATATTCTTAGTGTTTATATTGAGGATATAAAATTGTCTATAGAAGAAAGTGTCTTCTATAATTTCATTTGGGTTAAGAACTGAGTTGTTTTCAGGAATGTTGTCTAAGTGTTAGAAGTATTACAGTTGGTTCTGAATTCTTGAGTTACTTCTCTAAACAGGTCCTAAAAAATGCAAATAGGTATGTAAGGACTATTGCTTTAGAAATAATAACTGGTTATGTTTGAACGTTAATAGAATGGTTAACCCTCCTCACACACCCTATAAATGTGTTGTATGAGTCTCACTCCTTTCTCCTCCCGTTTTTTTTTTTGTAGATCCTCCAGAAGCCTGACCTGAGTGGGTTAGTGATCCAGAGAAACCAGCAGACCAACTTGGTCAGGAAGGTTCTCGAAGCCGTTGGAGCAGTGTGGAGAATTTCCCACCAGGATGAGTATGATTGGCTGTGATTTTAGGTTAGTTTTTGTAAATCTCTGTGGGTAGTATTTGTATTTTACTTCCTGGAATGGAGATAGTAGGAGTGGCTATATTTCCATTCTATGATTGAGCTACTTTGGTTTCTTCCATTCTTGGGATCTGGTGTGGTACTGGTTGCTTCTTTTGTTAAGGTGGAGGTCATTACTGAATTAAAGAGATTTGTTAAAATGAGTGATATCTGTACATGATTTTTCAAATCACCCCAGGCTTCATTCAAAAAATAAAATTGCAAGACAGTATGTCTAACCAATTCTTTTTAAAGAGTTATGAAGGGCCGGGCGCAGTGGCTCAAGCCTGTAATCCCAGCACTTTGGGAGGCCGAGGCGGGTGGATCACGAGGTCAAGAGATCGAGACCATCCTGGTCAACATGGTGAAACCCCGTCTCTACTAAAAATACAAAAAATTAGCTGGGCATGGTGGTGCGTACCTGTAATCCCAGCTACTCAGGAGGCTGAGGCAGGAGAATTGCCTGAACCCAGGAGGCAGAGGTTGCGGTGAGCCGAGATCGTGCCATTGCACTCCAGCCTGGGTAACATGAGTGAAACTCCGTCTCAAAAAAAAAAAGAGTTATGAAAAATTTCTAACATGCAAAAATTGGATAGTGTAATAATTCCCCCACTTACCCATCACCAGCTTTAATAGTTTCAACTTGCACATTCTATTTCATCTATACTTCTAACCACTGCCTCCCAATAGGTTATTTTGAAATAAATCCCTACTGTCTTATTTATTTGTAAAATACTTGTTTGTATTTCTAAAAGGCAAGGGCTCTTTAAATATAAGATCAAACTGAAAAAATTTAATAGATTTTTTAAAAATATCAAATGTAAAATATTCAGATTTCTCTGTTTTGCAGCTTTTTTTTTTTTTTAAACTGTTTGTTTGAATCAGGATCCTGAGAAAGCACATTTATTGCAAAGCATTGATTATAGCCCTTAAATCTATTTTAATCTGCAGGTTCCGTCTCTTTTGTTTTTTTTTCTTCCAATAGATTTGTTGAAGAAATTGTCCTATATATAGTTTCCTCCCCACCCTCTCCCTCCCCTGTTTGGGGATTACAGCCCAGTAGTGGTGTCTAACCCATTCTTGCTAAATTAAAGACCCTGGAGGGCCTATTGTAATGGAACAATGGCTGTAATCTCCAGTATCCCAGTTGGAGTTGATAGTGCTGTCCTAGGCACTATCGTAAATAACTAGTCATGGATGATTCCTTTTTCTGTGGCAGAGTCTGATTTGATACCTGACTTCAGTTCCATGTCTTGGCCCTGCTTACTGCTCCACATGAAAAGTAGGCCTCCTGGTGGAAGAAGCTAATGTTTCCTAGATAATGACCTGATTGTGCCTTTGGGATTTTTCATGCATGGTTTCAATTTCCTTAGGTGATTTTATTATTTTTATACTACCTTATAATGTTGCTTTTCATTCTTTTGATGTTAGTATCTCAGCTGCTCTGACCCATACCTTCTAAGCTATTAAGACCTAATCATGAGTTCCTGGCTGTCATATAGTTCTTGAAATGGCAATACTAAAACAGTTTTTGAGAGCTTCTACTTATATCCTGATTTTCAGCTATTAGTTTTTCACAACCTTAGTTTTCCTACTGTGATTTTTTTCATTTCATTTGAAATTGATGTTTCCTCAGCACAAGTCCTTTAAACTGTTCATTTCTTACCTCGTGCAGCATTGCCCATTCTGGGATCTACCTCTGTGTCCCTTCCGTGGCCAAAACCTGAGAATGGATATTGGATACATTAGGCTCTTGCCAGCCTTTGACTTAGGCACAACCGGGGGCAGAACAAGGCCTTACTTGTGCCTGCCTTTAAAATGAGAGTAATTTCAAGGGGCAGAGAGGGGTAGAAGTAATCATAAATGAAAGTTATTTGAAGTATTTAGATGAAATATGATTGTGAATCAACCAAGTGCTGTGGATCATGAATTCAGACCTTTCAATTCTTTGTTCATGAATGGAGAAATAAATCACTGGTTGAAAATTGATTAAATATTAAGTGATTTCTTGGGAGTTGCAGTTAATTCATGAATTCAGCAAAAATAATTTGGGGCATATTGGATATAGTGATTAGACACTTAGCCCTGAGTTTTCTTTAGGAAGTTTGGACGAAATCATTTAAATCTAATCCTGAGTTTGTGAAACTAGAATAACTGTAAATTGTAGGTAGAGTTTTTTTTCTTTTTTTTGCACACCGTAGGCATTCTAATATTTGAGTTTTCCACACAATTCTTAGCTTTAAATTTACAATGGAAATGCTGTTGGTGTGGTTTTTTTTCTTCTATTGTGTGTTTTCAACCATGAGTTCAAAGTATTAGTGAAATGCCAAACTTAGTTGCTTTGAAAATATTTTCCCTTCACATTAAGATTAATTTATCTGTTAATTGTTTTGTAGTTGTAACCATATTAGGTTGCTTTACAATGATCTCACTATAAGGTTGATCATAATTACTTGGGCTTTTGGTGTTTTGCTGTATTATGTATTCTTTGTTTCCTTAATGACTGGTTACTAGATGTTGTTTATATATGTTAATGTCAGGAATAATTCAACTTTAAAGTCGTTGGATGTGTCATAGGTGTTAAGTTGTTAAAACTTGATGTGCTTGTTGACCAGCTTGGTCTTCCGGTTATAAAAATCCTTTCAGGTAGTGAAGAAGTGGCTCTCTATGAGTAAAACAACTGTAGATTTTGTTTGGGCTGTTATCCTGAGCATTTTCAACTTTTAAGTTCTCTTTAAAAGCTTTTAATCATTTGGCTTTAAAAATTACAGTTGTGGCATAGAATGATCCCATAATGTGTTTTTACAGAAAGTTGGAATTTGTTTTAATTTATTATGAATGTACCATTACGTGGAGTTTGGGATTGTAGATCTGATTCATTCTGGATTGCTGATCGAATAAGATGAATGTCAAAATTCTTCTTCAACTCTGAGATTCTGATTGCATAATCTTACATATTGAAAGAAAGCATTTTTTCCTTTCAGTAGTCATTAAGTAAATGGTGACTAAAAGGGAGATAAATTATTCTGGAATTACCTTTCACTATAGCCATTTAGATTTAAAAGATCAGTGAGTCTGAAGATACTGTCATGGATTTATGTACCACCTTTAGCACAGCCCAGGTTTTGGGTCTTTATGGTTAGATACCAGAGATAATTGCTCCAGAAGTGCTTGGGTAGATTGCATTTGGTGGCTGTTTATGTTTTCGAATGATTTTGTAAGACTACTTTGATGGGTACATTATTTGCTATAATTATTTTCTTATATGCTTGTCTATTTTATAGTGAGGCGTATTTCTCCTGGTCTTTGCTTCCCGCGTCCCCCCCCCCCCCACTATTCTTTATTACAGCATTCTGACAACTGAGTTCTTATAGGTGAAAAAGCCTTTCAGCACAGCGATTAAGAACATGGACTCTGGAGCTAGATTCGCAAAGTTCAAATTCTGACTCCCATTTCTTACCAGGTGTGTCATGTTGTGCAAATTATTTAACTGCTTTGTGCCACATAGTTCTTCATCTGTAAAATGATGATTATACTTCCTGCCTCATAGAGTTCTGGAGAAGTTTAGCTGAGTTAATGCATATAAAGTGCTTAGAACAATGATTCTGAAACTTTAGGGAACATCAGAATCACCTAGAGGGCTTTCTAAAACAGGTTGCTGGTCCCCATTCCCAGAGTTTCTGATTCTGTAGATATAGGAGAGGCCCCAGGTTTTGCATTTCTGACAAGTTCCCAGGTGATACTTGTCTATTTCCTGCAAACTGCCAGCTGGATCTAGAGGCTTGATAAATTTCAGGTTCATTCCCTTTGGCAAATACATTGGCAGGCTGTGTTCATTCACAACATTCATTATGTTATGATGACTTGAATTTTTTGGATCCATTAATTTGTTGGGGGCTACAAAATGGTGATGTTCTAATGTTATCATTTGGTTTTCATCTATTAACTGGAATAATTTTATGTTTCCCCTCATCTTTTATTTGGTTACTCAGCAGTATATATGGGAAGAGCAGGTAAATACTCAGTTTTTTTAAACATGGCTTTCAAGATGATGAATTGGTTTCTTGTCATCTTCAAAAGGTTACACATATAAGTATATATATAACTATGTATTCATAGATGTAAACGTTTGATGGGTTTCAGTACATTGCAATTCTGACTCTTAGCGAAGTTCAGATTGTCCTACTTGTGGCTAGTGGTACTCTCTTAAAGTTGGCTCCTGATTATTATTGACATGCTCTCTAGTAGTCTTTGATAGCTTCCTTGCTATCTGGTATGTCAAGATGTTTCCAGGCTCATTCTTGTGCATTTCTCCCCCAGACCTGGAATCAGCAAATGGGATTAAGATAAAAGGTGAAGTCAAAAGAAATTCTGTCTTTGCCCAGGGTAGCTTGGAACTTTCTATCAAGTTCCACCTTTCTCTTTCCACTTAACCTCCCTAACCTGCCTCTTCATTCTTCTCTACCTTTTTATTAGAGTGTAGGTGGAAAGTTTTGAGAAGCCTTGATAATCATAGAAAGATCATGGAGCCCAGGCAGTTCCGGATTTGGGGCCTGGCCACTTAGTAGGTCTGTTGGTTTGGGCAAGTTAATCTTATCAGTTATCATCTGGGGAAATACCTTATTTATATGGTTGTTGGAAGTAAAGAGGAAATGTAAGGTGTTAGTGCATGGTAGGTGATCACTAGATGGTAATTTATTTAATGTACTATTTCACTTAACTCCTTCAGCAGCTCAGAGGTGGGCAGTCAGGGTGGTGAAAATAACGGCCATTTAGCAAAATGTATCTGGACCCTTTAGGTCTGTGTGGGATCATCAGTGGTGAGGAGGGATGAGGTTGTTCTTGAGTTATTTTGGGTCTGAGACTTTGGCCAGTGATAACTGAATGTTCCACAGAGTAGTTTTTCACTTTGGAACTCCCTAGGAGTCACATTTATACCCTCTGAAGGGTCTTAGCCAGTTCCATGATGTG